TATCTCAAAATAGCTTGTGAAGAGCTTGGGAGATATGGGATCGCCCTGCTTCGTTTCCCTCTTGATCGGTGTATGGACTGTAGCGAGAAAAAATGCTATGCATGTAAAACAGCCAGTGTTCGCTTCTATAACAATATTCACACAGTTCCTATCAAATTCTCCTTATACAACAGCTCATAAACTAATGCTGAAACCAAAATTAAACCATAATTATATATTCACGTCGTTATCACAAATTTTCTTGCAGTTTTCCACTGTTAGTTGTTAATTCGCGATCAGAAATTTTACACTGCAGGTAAGACAAGGACTCAAGAAATACAGCCAGTGGCCCACCTATCCACAGCTCTATCTGCATGGTGAACTTATTGGCGGCCTAGATATTGTCAAGGAGTGTGTAAAAGATGCAGATTTTTGTGAAAAGTTGCCGAAAGTGAAGGTTTGTACGTTTGAGTTGCAGGTGTTCCCCCTTCATGCGTCTCATTAAATTTATTGTAATAGAAATTTTCAGCCAACAATTTTCACGAATTACTAAGATATGGGGAACTGGCGAGTAAGTATACTAGGACACGGGGTTTGGCCTAATTACACTATTTTAGCACTAAGAGCTTCGTGCTGATAGCCCAACTATTTTTGATGATTTTTGTTTTTAATCGAAAACTGCATGTTGTGATATTACAGGATCTCCAGGAAAGATTAAAGAAATTGATTCATCAAGCTCCTCTGATGTTGTTTATGAAGGGGAACGCGAATGCTCCTCAGTGTAGTAAGTTCCACATTTTCAATTTGCCCTTTGTTTTAAAATATCAGTTTTACCGAAAAAAAAAACCATGATCAGTTTATTATTCCTTCATACTAGGTCTCTGTACCAGTGTTGTAAATCTCATCGCGCTGTAAACTGTCTAAATTTCTTGTTTCAGAATATAGTCGAATGATGATTGAATTGCTGAATAATATCAGTGCTAGTTATTCGACTTTTGATATCCTTACAGACGCAGAGGTATGTCAACATTGTATTATGAGTCGTTTTTACTTGCACTTCATTGGCGACATCCATTTAGCATGCGAACTTTCCCAATTCTTCATTTCTCGCATGAGAAGATTGTTTTTCTCCAGGGACGTTGCCTTGCAAAGTGGGCTAAGAGTTAGGTGTGTGGATATTGTGTATTAGTGCATGTTGGAAGATCGGCCAGGATTTCCAACTTAGCAACCGAAAAAGCTAGGAGGCCAAAATTTTAAGGTGTTTCCCGTCCCTTTAACTCAACATTAGCTGCCACGTACGTTCAGATCCCACGCAAAGGCATATCTGGTAGAAGATTTTTTAGCTCGAGAACCAAACAAGATAGTAGTCTGGAATTTTAGGATTGGGTTTTCTGCCTATATGCAGTCCA